GAACCGTTAAGTATGGGCCATGGCTTGCCAGGACTGAGCAGCTGTCGCTGCACACGGCCCTGCTTGTTTTCCAGGATTTTCTTTCCTGTGATCTGTTGATCTGTTTTGGGTCTGACGCCTTCCTGTCCAACATGGTAGGCAGGTGAGCTCTTCAGGAAGGACTACCCTCCTTCCTGAAAGAAGGGTTTTAACTTTGTGGATTTTAAATAGTTGTTGCTTTTTGTGCTCTGGAGACCAGGAAACTCCGTAGTATGGTGACAAATCCAAACCAAAGGAGTTGGGTTACTACTGCAGATGCAACAAATGGATTGCTTGCCTGCCCCCTTTCCCCATCCCCCATGCTGCAATTGCCTTATATTGCATCTGACATCTGTCACGTTACGTGACATACGTGGAAAATTCCCGTGGTAATTGGAACATGCTGTGAAGCTCATAGTTTCACCATCTGTGTACTGGAGAAGCAATGTGGTCCAGGGAACTGAGCATAGGATCAATACGGAGCTCTTTAGCTTTACCCAATGTATATATTTTGACAATTTTGAGCATGGTGCTTATTTTCTCCATTTCATCATCAGTAAGTGACAATGAAGCTATTCTAATACCATGAAGTTCTGGTGGTTTATTATTTAATGGTTGAATAACAGAGAGATTTGACTTGGATTTGGGGGTAGGGAGTGAGTTCACTTGTGTTCCAACCCAGTCCAAATTCAGGTTTCTTTCTACTTCTGTGATAATACATCACATCTGTATTTTTTATTCTGCCATAGAGAAAGATACAGATGTACAGGGAAATGGAAATGATTTACTTCATTTCTTCTCCTGTTAGCATAAACCAGTGTGGACAGTGATGCTTCGTCATATCTTTAGTCCTATGCTTCCCACTCAGGTGAGAGCTGTGGCTACATCCAGCGACATTGTGTGTCTGATGATCAGTGGAGATTCAGCTCTGGAAGTGAGCGCACCAGTGTCTTCCATTAATGCTTCCTTATGTTGCAAACTGAGTTTGCAGGACTGTGTGTGTTTAGTTAACCCACAGAGTTCTCTCTCTTTTGTTTTTCCAAAGGTGATGATACAAAAGTAATTTTCTGTATTTTAGTTATAGTTGTGCTCTGGCTGTTCACTGTGTTGAGGTAAAGGGTATCTTTACCTCACGTGAGGTAAAGATAACTGGCTTGCTTGCACAGGAGAGCTGCTGGCATAGCAGTTGTTTCAGGTGTTTTACTGTTTGTGGAGCTTTGCTTATTTAGGATATGTTTGCATGAAAATTATAATTTCTGAGGTGAGAATGAAGAAAAGAGTGAGACTGAATTTAGAACCTGCAACTGAAAAAGGATCCTCATGTGCAATTAGCATGGATCCCATCCTATGTGGCTAAATCTTCTGATAAGACTTGGAAAAATTGCATTAGCTTAATTATGTTTGGTCACCGGGCCAAATGGTTTAGAAATGAACACGTACACCCTGTCAGAGGAAGAGGACGTTGTTATAGTTAGACCTTGGGCAAAGTTCCAGACTGTGACTCCTGACCTGAGCCGAACCACAGACGGGGCTGGGAAGCAGGAGAGGGATCGCTATGAGGAGCGGGTGTGCGGTTAGCTGTTGAAATGATGGCGACTGGTTTGTGTTGTGCAAAAGGTTAAAACAGTACAACTGAGAAGAGCTGTGGGAGGGAGTTATGTGTAATAGTGGGATTCTCTCCAGAGAGAGATTTCCCATTGATTCTCACTGGAGGTATATATAGAAATAGATAATTGCATATTTCATTTTTACGATCGCTTTACTTGCAGGAAATTGAAAGGCAATAGAGCTTTTATTAGAATTAAAAAAACACCTTTTGTTATTTTGATAAATTTTTATGACAGCTTTGTTATCAATTACCACTCAGAAATATGGAAGATGTTCTTTTCTTCACTTCCTTTGTTGCCTCCCCCCTTCCCCTACCCCGTCCTTTGGAAGCACATTTTCCCCAGATTTGGTTCTTGACAAAGAAAAGGCAAAAGAGAGAGAAAGAAAAGGAAAAGACTATTAATTTGGAGGCTGTTAGAAAATGTTTGTTTTGTTTAAAACTATGTCCACCAACAAAAATCAAGGAGTTGTAATTAGTTCTTAAATAGCATAAACAGTGCAACTTAAGTAAGTGCCCTTCAGCATCCTGTGACTGGCAGGCTTAATCTTTAGAAAGGCAGTGCTCCCACTTAGAAATATTATTCATTCATTCAGTGATTCAATTCTAAAATACCTGTGCTGGATTCCTCTTTAGCAGTCCTCAATTGTTCTTATTTTAAAAGCACCTAGACACCTCGCCTATCTACAGTTACGGTGTCGTAGCAATACAAAAGTGCCATTTTAGCCTTCTGTGTCAGTGTGAATTTCCTGCATGCTGCTTATAGATGGACCTGGAAAATGCCAATGTTAAGAGTATGAGTTGTGCAATGAAATGATGCTTTGAAGGTGAGGCAATACAAGGTTACTGTTCATGTGAGCTCTGTGTGCTTTTGCAGAGCAGTAAAAGCTGAGCAGCTTTGCTGAGTTTCTCCAGTATGGATCCCAATGGATGCTGATTTTGTAAAACCACCACAGGAACAAGCACTTGCTTGTGTATTTTTTTAGTGTTATGGATGAAGAAGACCTGGAGACTGACCACCTCTTGGGTGAACCTGCTTAAGATGAAAGCTGAGTGATGAAATGTCAGTACAGGACAACCTGTGGTGCCCTGACCAGGGCAGTACTTACCCTGTAGAAAATGTTGGCCTTCATATCTATTCACATAGTACTTATTTCCTGGTAAAGTACCTCTTTTGGAGGGGTGCTTGCCAAAGTCTTGACCTGAGCTCATAAAGGAAGATGTTATGGTCCTGTCACTTCAATGTCTCAGCCAATTTTTCCAAGGAGGATTCATTATCCATGCCCCAGAGAATGCTGGTCCTTTGAAGGTTGGCAAGGAAGCCTCTAGGCAGCAGGCCAGAACTTGCTTACAACTGAATTGATGCAAATGTAGTTATATTGTATGTAAATCAGGTTTGTTTCATTGATTTGAGTTCCTTCCAAAACAAAGTTTTGTCAAACTAATGGGTTCTAACCTCATCCATGACCAGATTACCATAAAGGACATTGCACTCGGAGTAGTCCCTGAGAAGATGGTCTGTGGTAGACAAGTTCAACTTCTTCTGAGACTCTCTTGTGAAATCTTTTAAGAACTGAATCTCTTAAGTCTCCACCACTGACAGGAAACAGAAGTTGCTATGTACATGATTGTGCTAGGTTTGAGGGCATTTTGATTTTGCTGACTGAACCAGTGTTAGAGACCAGTTCGAGGGTTAAGTTGACCTTTGGCATCTCCTAGTGAGAATCCAGTGTTCTTATGAATGTGCTTTTGAAGCCAGCATCACCCTGCCCTAGTGAGTCCTGCTGAGACATACCACCCCTTGTAGAGTTGGCATGGAGAGCAAAGGAAAGTGGGCGTGCTAGAAGACAGTGCTTGGTACCAGCTCACTTTCCTTTCAGCTGCATGAGAGTTGCAGCTGATGCCCCTCCAGTGCATAAGAGAAGATGCTAGATAAATTAATCCCAGCACACAGCAGGGCAGGTGATTCCTGCCAAGCACATAGTGCCACAAGGGTGGAGGTTTGGGGTTGGGTTTTTTTGTTGTTTGTTGCTTAGGTTTTTTTCTTAAGCAAGCATGCCAATGTCTACACAAAAAGTCCCTGGAGAGCTTCTGACTGCATACAGTATATTAAGTCCCACTATGCAACTGTTGTCCTAAAGGTGTTTTTTCTAGCACAGCTACTTAGTCTCTATGAGAGCTCAAAGCAGCCTTGTTCTGGCAAGCAAACAGACCAAAGCATTGTGGGGCAGGTTAGGGCAGCAGCTGCTCTGATGACAAAGCTCAGCTGTGTTGCTGTTGATACAGCATCCAGCATCCTGCGGTTCGGTTCACCTGCCACCTCCCTCCCTGCTCCCCTGCCCCGTGCCCAGGGAGCTGGGTTTCACAACAGGCTTTAATTATTTACTCTCTAAGGATATGGCTTATTCTGCAGATTAAGTGAAAAAGTGAAGTCCTTAAAAAATATAACACAAATAAGCCCCTGATCTGTCAAACAACAAGTCCCTTAAAAGGGCAAAATATGCAGCTCTCTGTGGCCTGCACAGATCCCTCCTTTCAAACTGCTGGCAGGAGGCTTCCTGTTTGGATGGGCTGCTCACAAACGGTGTTGTGTGGTGAAATCAGTCACTTCCCAGCTCCTCCTTCAGGCCTCCTTTTGCCTCCCTTTACACTCCTGATACCAAAGCCCCCGAAGCCTGGGTCCTGTCAAGATGGGATCTGGCTGCTCAAATGTAAATCTGAGAGCACGCATTAGCACTGTGCAGTTTCTCCCCTGGATACATAAAGCAGCCCAAACTAGTTACATGTGTTTGAAAATGGGATAGACAAAATGGTCCTACTGCAATAGTCCTGGCCATAAAGGGATAAGTGAGTGTTTGGTGGTCTGGCTCCAGAATGGTGGAAAATTGATTTCTGCTTCATTGTTTCATTGTTTGTTTTATTTTGACCAAGCGGGATACCTTTGGAGGATTCTTCCATTTATTCTGGGTAAATTCTCCAGTATATGCTTTTTGCTTCTGAAACTTTGGTTCTTTTACTACAGTAGTGAGAGAAAGGCCAATACTGGCATTCAATGGTAGCATTCAACCTTGGCTACTGAGCATTACTGATAAATCTACCTGCTGGGAAATCCCACACTGAGTTTGAAAAACCTTTTCAGACACTTTAGGAGAAGTGATTCTACACTGCCATACAAGAACAAGTTACTACCATATTAAAGATTAGCTACTTTGTCTAGCTTGTGTGTTTATTTTTCTCTTTTGTGTCTTGGATCCTTCTGTCCTCTTCCAGCTGTTACACCAGTGATAACCATTGTAACTGCAGAGAGCTGCACAGATCCAACAGTCTTGTTTATCATTTAATGCCCATTGTTTGTTTGGTTTTTTTCTTCCTGCAGAACATGATCAGAAGATAGCATCATACACCATGATCATGGCCCCCCGGAAGAGGAATCGTCATGCATTGGGGTTTCTTTGTTGTTTTGGGGGTAGCGACCTCCCCGAAATCAACCTCAAGGACAATAACCCCCTCCAGTTCCTTGAGTTTTCTGTCCCAATCCCACCAGCAGAAGAGCTCAATGCCAGATTCTCCGAACTTGTGGTAAGTTTCTGCTGGCAGGTTGATATATGTCAGGGGGTGGATGAACTCCTCCCTTCAAAGGAGGAGTAAAGGGACTTTAAGGGACCTATTAGGGATAGGAAAAAAACTTCTGTTGAAGGTCTTTTTTTTTCTTTTCATTCTTTTATGACCAATTCCTTGGTGGGAGAAAAGTGGCAAATGACAGGATGGATGACAGTGGCGCTGGGTGTATAAGTACAACAAAATGCTTAAATATGCTTATTTATTCTCACAGCACTATGCAATTCTCCAGGTGTAGGATTGGGCACATTAGAAGGAACCTCGTAAGTTCTCTAGAGAATGAATCCCTGACAGTCAATTTCTTGTTAACAACTTTGGGATAAAATCCACTCTGTAATATAGTACAGTGGAAAATGTTAGAGTTTGTGGGTCCATAAAATAAGGACTATACTGTTCTGTTGATCAGTAACATACGGCTGGTGAGGTATAAGAATCAGATGACCATGCTAATTATGTTTCATCAGCCAGCTGCCTTTGAACCATGAAATGGTGCTGTTGCCGCAACAGACATAAACAGGAAGGGAAGCAGTTATGTCAGATGAACTTTGTCGTTTGCTTTTGTGGTAAATGTTGCGGATTCCAGTAGCAGGCACTTGCTATTCGTGCCTGGCATCAAACGACTTTGCTGTCTTTGCCCTCTTGTTCAGCCTGCATGCAAAACACAGGCAGAGGTCATAGGGCTGTGATGTTTTGCAATCTGCATTGTAAAGGTGATGCCCATTTGATGCAGTTGATTAGCTACCTCATTACCACTCTGAGATCGGAAGTTATACGAAGTGAGGTATCTGTAAGTGTATATAAGCCTGAGTGGTGCTACTGAGATGAGGAATAGAACAGGAAAATATTGGATCTCAGAATTAGAGGAATTTCCCAGTAATCTTTCTACATGACACTTGCAACATTAGCCCGGTAAGTTCTTGTTTGTTATCATGGCTTCAAAGTGCTGTAGCAATGAAAATAACCGTATAATTTGGATATGCAAGTGGAGGTTAACATATGGGCAACTATAGCATGTCATACCAAACATAAGGACAGCTACAATTTGTCAGATCAGTGGTCTGACAACCTAGCCCAGGCTCCTATTTCAAGATGGGGTCCAAAGCAGATGCCTTGGGAAGAATATAAGATGTGACCATAGGGTGGTCTTTTCCAGGATACTTTCCAATCCTCTAACAATTTTCAGCTGAAGGACTTCTCAGCCAAAGTTGCTTTCTGTGTACATAGTAAATTGGTATGGATTTCTTTTCCATTAACTGTTTCCACCTTCCCTAGCACCCATGACAATTTTTTAGCATTTGCAGTATTCTAGACAGGAGAGTGGGAAGGAGCCAATAGAATTTGCAGCTGTTTCAGGAAGAATAGGGTGTGTAGCAGAAGAGAGTCTACTTGCTTCTGACTAAGTAGCAGATGAGGAATCTCCTCTTGCGGAGATATCTCACAAAATCCTGGTCTATATTTAAGTCAGCTTGCCTTTTATGTGAGACTACTTGAATTCCTCTCAGAAAGTGCAGCTGACTGACTGTGGAGAATTCTGCTTGGTGACAGGTATCTCTCATGAGTAAGAGTGTAATCCGTAATCTGCTCTGCTGTCAATTTATTTCTGGATGCTGCTTAAGTATTGGTTTTCACATGCAAAGCTTTAACTGCTGTATCAAAGTTCACTTCTCTCCAATACCAACATCCGTTGAAGCATTCAAGCCAGCCTTCCCGAAGACGTCACCCACAGATGTGCTTTGCTCCTGAACTTGGCTTGCTAAAACTTGAACTTTATCTTCGGGTCACAGTGAAAGACCTGTTTTAGTTGCTGCTGGGCTTTTGCTTACTGAGAAGGGTATCAATTTCTATGAGGAGTTTGAGAGTTTGTGGTGATATTAAAGGTGCTTTTAGCTTTTTGTTTCATGCCTGGCAAATACTGGTGTTCCATGTGCTTGTGGCAAAACAGCTCACAGCTGCCTTATGGAAGTCTATTAAACAGTATAATTTATAATGTTTTTGGTGAAAATTTTAATGACAAGTATACATGGCCATCTGTAAAAATTTTGGCCCCAGAAGTTTGCGAGTTGTTGGTCTATGCTATAACATTAAATGTGCTGACAGCTTGTAACTGGCATATACATTTCAAACAAATGAAGCCATTGAAATGAAAATAGATCATATTCATGTTCTTATATTTAATGATAGTGCCCTAGCCATCATTACATGAGAAGTGAGCTGGGAGAGAAAAGTGCTATTTTTCAGAAGGTTAATGGTGTATATCGCACGTTTTTATAAAGCACTCGGATACGATGGTGATGCATGTCCATAGGAGTTCACGGATAGGCAGGTAGCATGAGAAGCAGTAAGGGCTTTATGAACAAGAGAACCTGGGCTAGAAAGCAGGCTGGCAGAATGCAGAATTTGCCTAGAAGGGCTAGTTTGTCCACAGGTCCGGATTAATGCATGTTCTACAAGACACTAAAATAAAACAGGCTACATCTGTATTGACAGCTCAGATGAGATTTTAATTGGATTAGAAAGATTCAGTCTGTAAATGCACCAGTGTAAATCAGTGACCTGGAAGTGCCTGAGAAGGCTCTGTGCTGTGTACTAGCCTCCCCGCTGCTTATCCGTTAGGGTCTAGTCTGGGTGCACTTGTACTATATAAAAAACAGATTGGAGTGTAAAGCCTTTTGACCCAAATCCCCAAGTGAAATGATGACACCAACATCATCTGAGATCTGTAGTGAGGAGAGCATTTGTGTTAGCTCCCTGAAGCAGGCCCAGGGGATATAGCCTCATCTTGCCATCTGCTCTACAAAGGGTATAATGGAACATTGGTGTGCTCGAATGAATTTTTAAAAGCCTATTTTTCCCCTTGTTGCAGTTAAAATCTGGGGCATTTTCCCACATACGAGTTAATGACAAGAAGAGCTAAGCCTAGCTGTGCTGGCAAAGCCTCCCTTGTGATGAATTTTCCAGTCCAGTAAATATTCAGTATGTTTCTACCTGCCTTTCTGAGGAAAATTGGCATTTTGAGGGCCAGAAGCCAGTCTTCTCTTGTTCTTGTGGACCTTAAATTAATATCATGAAACGTGAATTTGGAGATGTTCATTTTGCAAGAGGAGGGATTAGGAATGTGTTGGGGTCTTTTTTTGTGATGGAGTCACAAGACCCTTCCATAGCTTGCAAATTTGCTCATATAGACTCCAGGCTGAGGCAAATACACATGTATGGGCTGCTCTGTTTGGGGCATGCACCCAAACCAACCAACTGAGTAACGGCAGCTGCCTAACTGGACTCTGACCGAGGCAGTGGTTATCAAATGACAAGTTGATGCTGATTTCAGCTGAAATGTCTGCTCTCGATGCCGCTCAGCCATAAAAACAGTTCTAGGATGGATCCCAGGCTTTTGTGTTACTTGAAGCTGGATGCTGTGTTTACGCCTTGTCTCCTCGATTAGAAAATTAAAACAGAAAGGGTTACTCCTGATATGGGCCAAATTCAGTCTTGATTTATTTCATTCGGAACATGTGCAGAGAGTAGGTCTGAATGAAGACTATGGCTTAGGGTGATTTGGTCTGATTTTGTTTGGGCTAAGACAGAAGATGTACTAGCTTTCAGGCGGTCTGCTGGCAGTGATTGCCTTGGGACTAATGCAGTGGTAACAGTACAAGTAAGTCCTTATCAGAAGTCTAGCTGCACAAGACACAAAGCAAACAAAAATACTTGTGACCACAAGCTTTGCCCCTCAAAGGGCCACTTTCGTGCACCCAACAGAAAGAGAGCAGAACAGCGGGCTTTAGCGTCTCTCCTTCAATGAACCGGCAAGGACAAGAAGCTCTAGAGAGTAGGATGTGTGGAGTGGTCCTGTACATCATAAATCGTGAAACTGGCCTTACCTGACCATCAAGGCTGTTCTAGCCAGTGTCACTTCTGCTTTTTTCCTCAGTCTCTCTTCTCAGCTAGCACTGTGTATACTACCATGTAGTAAAGTGCTGCTGCAGTTGGTGGTCTATTGGCTGGCGCCAAGCTGGTTTTGTGCCTGCTGGCAAAAATGGCTTTGCTAAGCACATGTGTTTTTCCTTGTACAGATTTATTGACTGAACAGGAACTGCAGAAGAATCTGGAAGAACTATTGCAAGGCAAGGGGAAACCATTTTTTTCATGAAACAGCTTCTCCATGTCCTTGTTCATATTTGTTAGCAGCGGTGTGTTCTTTTCACAGTGGATTCTGATTCCTTTTGCTCAATATTAGAGTCCAGGACTCTTCTTGTTGGTTAAGGGTGGTGTGCTGCTTGACACTAAAGATTTTGCCATCTAGATCTCTCTTACACCAGCAACCTGATCCCAGGTGTGAACTCAGACCCTGCCAAGAAGGGTAACTTAAATGCTGGCAATTCTGGGAAAGCAGAAAAATGTAAAGAATGCTAGCACAGAAGAAAGAGCAGTGTAAAGAGCTTGTGCTTTTGTTGTTTCTCTTTTTGTTTCTTTTGTTAGTGGCTCTGTTGAGATGGTTATGGTGTTTGAGAAGGTGGAGTTCAAGATTGTCTATTTTAGGATGGAAGGTCCATGGGGAAGAAGTGGAGTTGTCTTTTGAGTTGCTGTTTTCAAAGTTGGTCATATTATTACAGCCTCCAAGCTTGAACGATAATATCCTTGTCTGAGTTACCTGCACCACATTAGATTCTTACACTGGGAAAGATTTGAGAAATGCCTACTGTTATCCCCTCTTAGTCATGGCTGCCTTTGAAGCATTCTGGTATTTAGCTCAGGTTGGACATTCACTGGATTCTCCTGTCATGGTTTGTTTCTCTTACGTCGCATTTGAACCTGTTTCTTTTTTAGTTTTGGTTTGATTTTGGTTTGATTTTTTTTTTCTTCTTTTTCCTTAGAGTCCCTAAATAAGGGATTTTGTTGACTTTATAGATTCACCATCCTCCCAGGCTTTTCCAGAACAAAACTTTAGACCTTATGCCACCAAA